TTATCTGTCCATGCTAGCCTGTATGGTTGGGGATGCTGTTGTGTCCATGGATTTAGTCATTCAATTGTAGATATTGAAGCAAGATTTTTGCAATGTTCCTCGTGAATGACAAGTTTCTTATATTTATTTTTGCAACGAGTTACAATTTGGAAAATTGGAGAATATTTTGGATAGTTTTCTATTTTAATTACATAATCATGCTTAATTACAATCAAGAAAGACTTATCAATCCTATCATCTTTGAGTGATGACTCATTCTCTTCCTCGCGATTCCACATGCTTTAAACTTCTTCTATCACACACTTTTACGAAAGAGATTGCAAAATAAGAAGAGTAAATAAGAGTACTTGCTTTGAACTGCCAGAAACAGTCTAAGAGAGGATAAGCCAATCTAGGTGAACCGATTTGGTCTAACTTGACCCAAAAAGGCAAATCAGAGCACGATAAATGTAGGCCAGTCACGGGTGCCTGCACATGGGATCCACGTGTCAGCTTCTGTTCATCGAATGGCAGCGGCTGTTTGGTAATCGGTTCAGCCCAGGGTATTGGTCTTAGATTGGAGGCCAATGTCACACTTGATGATGCAAAAGTTCAGACTCACTAGAGGCAGCGGTTGTAGGAGCTTGCACTGACGAGTATGATGGTTTCTGGTGGTTTTTCACGCTGGGGCTTCAGGGGTCAGTCAAGCAGGATCTTCTAAAGCTGGTGGCAGTGGCAGTGGCAGTGTCAACCACCTCTGGACAATGGCTGGTGAATGGTATTTGTGGTGTTTTAGGGTTTCTTTGAATTTTTTGGCTTTTTTTTTAAATGGGTTTGAGACTGTTTAGTTGTAATGATGCGGAACTCAAGATCAACAACGGAATTCAAAACCCCACATGTAATAATGTGGAATCCAGGATCAACTAACATGATAAAAAATCCCGTATATACATTAGCGACCAGAAATTGAAAACTCTAAATAAATCTTTTCTACTTGACCAGCATTCAACAGGGAGTGAAAACTAAGATAATAGAGATAAATGAATTGATTAAAACGCTATAAGAAAAATCTTGATAAGTTAAAATCAATTCGAGAAAAGAGGATGATGAAAACGCCACAAGTTATCTTAATAAATAGATATCAATTCGTCACTCAACAAGAAAGTTGAAGATAGCTTCATTAGTTGAAAATTAAACTTTTATAATTTTATTGATTGAAACTTGAATTATTATAAGTAGAAATTGATAACTTATTTATAACGTAGGCCATATAAATAATAAGAAAAATAATATCCTAATTTAATGGAGAAATTACATAGAAAATTAAATATATAATAGAATAAAAAATTAGCAAAATTAAAAGAATTACAAGTAATATAGGATGGATATGATATCCATTTTTTAATAGAGAAGATCTTAATTAATTATGAAGATTTAGGAGAAAAAATTCTGATAAGATATTTTCCTCTTTTTCAAGTATTTTCCTTTTTCTGTAAGATTTGACATCTAAGGAGTTTTTTTATTTCTCAAGATATCTTGCAATTTAGAATCAATTTCTTTTCTTGGCCGATTCTCCCTCTTAAAAAGAAAGATTTTCCCTGGGATTAGAAAAGAAAATCCCGTGAGAGTTTTCTCTTTCCTTGTTCACATCATGTAGGGTTCTGAAAAGTTGGGTTTGGCAAGGCATAATGGTGGGGGAAAACAAAAAGAAAAATGTTGGCCCTCACTCCCCTTTCAATTCTTTAAGTTATTTGGAAAGAAAAGAATAAAGGAGCTTCTGAAAGGAAGCCTTTTTGTTTTAGAAATACTAGATCTCATTAGCTCCCCACTCCTGCTTCTTTTGTTAAAGGACATTTACTCTCTTCTGGAGAGGATCACTGGAGACATTGTTGATATTCTCACTAACATGTAATTTTTTGTAATTTAGTGGCACTCCTTGCTGACCTGTTAAAAGATTTATTCTTTTCTCTCAAAAAAAAAACTTTTTGGATCCATTTCTATTTTTCTTGTTTTTCCACACTAGTAAGTGTGAAAAGAGAAGCTGTCTGATATTGTTATTGTTTGCTTTGAGTGTTTTTGAAGCCCTTTTAGAAGCATTTCTTTCCTCCCTATTTTACTAAGGTGTTTTCTGGTGGTTCACAAAAAAAAAGGTTCAATGTGTTGCAAAGATTAGGTCTGTAACCTTACTGTCCAGTGAATTCAGAGGAAGTCATATGTACGCTTGAAACTATTGTGTCATTAGAGGTTATTGTTTTCTGCTGTTTAAGTTGTATAGTTTTGGTTTGATGTTCTAATTATAAGCATATAGAGGGATTTTAGCTCTATCCAAATCTGCTTAATGCTGAATGTTTGATCATGAAGCTGGTCAGGAGAGATTCAGAACATTGACAAGTTCATACTACAGAGGGGCACAAGGAATCATCATGGGTAATTTCCTCCTTTCTCATTCTTATAACTACTTTTATTTTGTTTTTCTTTTCGAAAAAATAGAATAACTACGGAGTTGGTTTTTCTTTTTATTTCAGTTTATGATGTAACACGGAGGGAAACTTTTACAAATCTTTCTGAGATATGGGCAAAGGAAATTGACCTATACTCAACAAATCAAGACTGCATCAAGATGCTTGTGGGAAACAAAGTTGATAGGGTAATATTTTGATTTTTGCATATAAATTATTAGATTACTTGCTTTTGTTGTATTATGTATAGTCTTAGTTGTGTCATGGCTATGGTATATGGTACAGGTAAGTTTGTGTAGTCCATGTTTCTTCGGTACTATACACATTTTTTGAGTGTTGTTATATATTTATACATTTTGTATGTAATATGAGCAAAGCAGATAGAAGAAATAGAATAATAGATAAAATCACATTTGTCGTATATAAAATCTAGAAAAACGGTTTAAAAATAACAAATCCCAATTATCTAGCACATCTTTTCTTGAATTTTTCCTCGGGAACTGAAACGCGCTTACGATATCTACACGTCCCAAATAACCCAAAAATCAGACCCAGGGCCTACTCCGCCAATTTCAGAATTCAGCCAAACTTGCATCGGTTCCTGTGAGAAAACACACTTAGGGCCCTCGGTGGGCTGAAAAAGCGTAGAAACTCGAAATTCACCGGCAGTGAGGCTCTCTAGTGCGGCGGCTCCTCCGGCTCACGTTACGGTTGAGTGTTTTGCTCAGGTCAACTTGTAGAGGAAACGGTGATCACAACGGTAGAAAAATAACATCAAACGGGAATCGGAAAGGGCCTCATCGGAGGCGAAAATCAAAACACCCCGTGGCGGCGCCGCTGAGCTTCGGCAGCGTTTTTCGATCAATTGGTCGATTCTTTCACTCCAATTTGGCCATGGGTGGATTTGGAATCAAATTCTGAGCAAAGGTAGAATTTTTACCTCGTTTGGCGGTCGGAAATTGCTCCGGTGCGGCGGTGGGAGGCTGCGGTCGGCTCCCCGGCGGCTGGGTTGTCTTCTCCGGCGAGGGGCTCTGGCAGCTAGGGTTAGGGTTTGGGTGCGGATGGGATTATTTATACTCATCCACTTTTGATCTGGGCTATCCATCGCATTTAATCTGAACTGTCCGATCGCGATTAAATAGATAGTGAATTTGGGCCGTTCATCGCGATTCAATCTGGGCCGTCCGTGCGCGATGCAATCTGTGCCGTCCGTGCGCGTTTTGATCTGGACCGTCCGTGCGCGCGGGAACAGATCTTAACCATTCAATCGCGCGCACGCAGATCGCCCACGTGGCTCCCCCTGCGTGGCCTCCCGCGTCAGCGTCTCTCCCATCTGGCGCGTCCTGGTTGGTAATGGCTGCTGACCGGGCAGCTGACTCGGTGTAACTTTTCTAAATTGCGTTTTGACCTATGGTTTCTTATTTTTCTTTCAAAAATATCTCCATAACCTAAATTTTCACCCATTTTTTCCAAAATTATTTTCAATTAAATCTCTAATCAATTTTTACTCTTTTTATTATTATTATTATTATTTTTATTAAATCAAATTAAAATTAAATAAATCAAATTAAAATTATATAAATAATAATTATATTCATATAATAATAATTAATAAAAAGAAAAAAGGAAAGGTTGGGTGTTACAATTCTCCCCCTCTTAAAAGAAATTTGGTCCATCAAATTCGTCTTTTACTCTTGATCGAACAGCTGGGGGTACTGGGCTTTAAAGTCTGATTTTAGTTCCCATGTGGCATTTCTTGGTGTGTGGTTCTGCCATATGACATTCACAAAGGATATCTCCCGGTTGCAGAGTAATCTGTTCTTTTGATCCACAATGCCGACTAGTACTTCCTCATAGGATAAATTCTCCCGGCGTGGAAGAGGTTCGTGGGCCAAGACATGAGAAGGGTCCGAGTTGTACTTGCGTAGTATGGACACATGAAATACATTGTGGACCTTAGAAAGTTCTGAAGGCAGTGCTAGTCTGTAGGCGGCAGTATCAATCCTGTCTAAAACTTCAAATGATCCAATAAATTGAGGGTTCAGATTTTCCCTCTTGCCGAACCTACTAATTCCCTTGAAAAGAGTGACCTTAAGGAACACTTGATCGCTTTTCTCAAACGCTAAATCTCTTCTCTGGGTGTCCGCATAACTCTTCTACCTGCTCTGAATCGTCTGAATATTCTTCCTAATCTCAACTATTTTGGATGTAGTCTCCTCTACCAGTTCCAGGCCGAATAATTTTCTATCGCCCACTTCTCCGTCTCCGTCAACCAGTACTGGGCATCTTCAAAAGAGGATTCCCCCACAAGAGTAGATGGGTTCAGTCTCCTGTACCTCTCTATGTAGCCTGGGTCAATCGTGGGGGGAACTGGGTCCCGTGGAAAAGGGACTGGGCCAGGCTGATGGTAGACTTAGGGGCTCTGTGGTGGTACTTGTTGATACGGCGGGGACACCAGATTATACTGTGGCGGTGCTGGGCAGTACCGTGACTGAGGCACCGGATTATGCTGCGGTAGTGCCGGGTGGTACTGTGGAGGAGCAGGGTCGTACCGAGGTGGCTCAGGATCCTCTCGCTGCAGTGGTAGCTCCCTCCTTTCCTCTCGGCCCTGCTGGGCCGCAATGAGTCTTTTTAACATCTCAAATATCCTGTCCATGTCTTCCCTAAGCGAACCCTCCCGGGCTATCCGGTTTAGTGGGGGTCTTTCTCTTCTCATTTCTCTGTACCTGCATTTCATAAGAAAGGATTGAGTGATAATTCATTGTTTGGTATTTCTAAGTATTATTGTATAAGGGACGGGTCCGGAGAACGCGGCTCTGATACCAACTATAATGCCCCGGAAATTAAGAAGGAAATACATATAATAATTTGAGTGCAGAAACGAAATAAAAGATTATTGGTTAACATCCCTTACACAATAATTTAAGAGTACTAAATAACATCACGGAATAAGTTCTTTGAAAGAAATATGAGAAATGAGAAAAATAAAGGAAACTATAAAACATCTAACATCTACTCGCAGTCTTATTGTGGATCGGGCTCGGGAATCAGGTCCTTCTGATCTGAAATGGTTAAATAAGGAATGAGTTACACTAACCCAGTAAGGACATTACACTATATCACCGTCACAGAAGTAAAAATTGGTAGAAAACCAAAAACAACCAATAGAGTATAAATTTTAAATCAATACATTTATTTAAAATAAAACCATTTACCCTTTTTCTTACCCTTGAAGAACTTGTGAAAACAACCTATAAAGACAATAATATTATATAGATCACAATTTCATGCATAATCAGTAACATAAAACATATCATAAATCCGTATTTATTAACAATAACTGATTATCACCGTTTCTCATTTTCACCAGCCTACTAATATCTATGGGGATCCATAGGGGTGTCCCGGCTACACGTAAACTACTCTCCTTAACAATCTTAATTTTAGGGCCGTCCCCATACCTCGTCTGGTATGAGCGTCAAAACATTAAACCTCAATACCCCGTCCGGTATGAGGTTGAAGTGGGCCGTCCCCATACCCCGTCCGTTATGAGACAACGTTCACGGTAGGGTTCCCTATGAATTCGGTCCGTCCATCATCTCTCAAGATATCTAGTGAGGCTGTCACCTTATCTGTTTTCCCTTAGTCTCCATTATCAAGTTGAACATAATCACATAAACAATAAACATGCACCCGGTAATACAATTGTATCGTAAATTCCAAAATTACACAGTAGTCAAGTAAGACAGTAATACATGCATTTAAAACCATAGAATAGATAGACTAGATATCATAATGTATTTAAACTGTAAAATAAATCAAGTAGGAATCGACAGAGAATAATGTCCGGTTCGGGCTCCATTAGCAACCTTAATTAATTATGCATATCTATTTAATTTGTACAAAATAGAGTATTATCATTTATTCAAACTTCAATTACATGATAGGAAATAGGGTGGGGGGGTCCTTACTTGATTCGACGCCGAAAACTAGATTGTTACTACGCCTACGGGCGATCCCTGAGTTCCCTGAATTTCTTCTCGGGAATTAAAACGCACTTACAGTACCTACACATGTCCCAAATGACCCAAAAATCAGACCCAGAGCCTACTCGGCCAATTTCAGAATTCCAGCACAGCGGCTCTGCCGTGCTCCGCCTTGAGTTTGCTGTTTTTGGTCGAATTCAGCCAAACTTGTATCAGTTCCTGTGAGAAAACACACTTAGTGCCCTCGATGGGTCGAAAAAACGTAGAAAATCAAAACTTACCGGCGGTGGGGCTCTCTGGTGCGGCTGCTCCTCCGGCTCACATTGCGGTTGGGTGTTTTGCTCCGGTCAACCTGTAAAGGAGGAAACGGTGATCACAATGGTAGAAAAATTACATCGAACGAGAATCGGGAAGGGTCTCATCGGAGGCGAAAACTGAAACACCCCGCGGCGGCCCGCTAAGCTTCGGCAGCGTTTTCTGGCCAATTGGCCGGTTCTTTCACTTCGAATTGGCCATGAGTAGGTTTGGAATCAAATTCTGAGCAAAAAGTAGAATTTTTACCTCATTTGGCTGCCGGAAATTGCTCTGGTGTGGTGGCAGGTGGCGACGGTCGGCTCCCCGACGGTTGGGCTGTCTTCTCCGACGAGGGGCTCTGGCGGATAGGGTTAGGGTTTGGGTGCGGATGAGGTTATTTATACTCATCCGCTTTTGATATGGGCCATCCATCGTATTTAATCTGGACCGTCCGATCGCGATTAAATAGGGAGTGAATATGAGCCGTTCATCGCGATTCAATCTGAACCGTCCATGTGTGATGCAATCTAAGCCGTCCGTGCGCGCAGGAACGGATTTCAGTCGTTCGATCATGCGCACGAGGATCACCCACGTGGCTCCCCCCGCATGGCCTCCCGCATTAGCATCTCTGCCACCTGGTTCGTTCTGGTTGGTCGGGGTTGTTGACCGGGCAGCTGACATGGTATAACTTTTCTAAATTGCATTTTGACCTCTCGGTTTTTTATTTTTCTTTCAAAAGTTCTTCCATAACACAAATTTTCACCCATTTTATCTAAAATTGTTTTCAATTAAATCCCTAATTAATTTTTACCCCTTTTTATTATTTTTATTTTTATTAAATCAAATTAAAATTAAATAAATCAAATTAAAATTATATAAATAATAATTATATTTATATAATAATAATTAATAAAAAGAAAAGGTTGGGTGTTACATCTTTTCGTGAAACTCTATCATGGGTTTTTTTGCATCATATATCGTAGAGAAAATATTTGTAAGTTATCATAACTGTTAAATTTAACGATTTACCCCCCTATAAGCATTGAAGTAGGATCACAAACTGCATTCGCCATTGAAAGATCTAGAAGCGGTTTCTGAGGAGTGCTGTTATCTTGTTAACACTAATTCTGTATTTCACATGTTTAATGTTTAGTTTTCCATTTTGGAAGGGAGAAATTTTTCTGTAATATTGATTTTCCCAGGCCTCTACCCTTATGGTGATCCCATGTCAATTTGTCCTTTCTTATGTATAACAGTAGTGGATCAAATTTTTATTTGTTTATTTCTATCAGGTGATTTCCATAAATATAAGTTCCATATTTAAAAGATTAGCCCACTAAAAGATTCCCAGCTTAAGACACAGATCTTTCCACCTGGAATATTTTACAAGGTGGCACTATGGGGTTTAATTTGCATCAAATTTACTGAGTCATCCACTATAGACAATTAGAATTTTGAAGTCCTGTTTCGCTATAAATGTCAGATCACTTAGATGCAAAAACAGGCTTTATTTACATAGTTTGATCAAGCATGCATTTCTTTGAAAAAATTTCTTTTATTTGAAAGCTTTACCAGCAGTTTAATGCCTCTCCAATTGAATAGTTGGGAATCCTTTAAGTCACACCTTTTACTAATGTGCTGAGGATCATTTCTTCTGTTTTTTGCTTTGGTAATATTGGGATGTACCTGGCATCTTAATCTATTGAATCTGTGTATGAACTGTCTTTAATTTGTTGCACATAATAAATTCTACATAACTTTATTTCAAAAAATAAATTCTACATAACTATCTTGCTTATGTTTAATTCCATTTTCCATTTGAAGTTCTCTCAAGGACTAAGGTTTTTTTTTTTTTATCAGGAGAGTGAAAGGGTTGTGACCAAAAAAGAGGGAATAAACTTTGCAAGGGAATATGGATGCCTATTTATTGAATGCAGTGCTAAAACCCGAGTAAATGTACAACAATGCTTTGAAGAGCTTGTTCTGAAGGTATTGTGTAAATATTGGCTAAATGTCAGAGAATATCTGGTGGTTGTGATCATATTATAAAGGGCTTTTGTGGTCGAACTTTTGTGAATTTGTACTGTAGTTGAGTTGGACAGTGTTGAATGAGATGAGTGACAATAATTGTTTACATCATTTGCAGATTTTGGACACACCTAGCCTCTTAGCCGAGGGCTCAAAAGGGATGAGGAAGAACATCTTCAAACAGAAGCCACCACAAGCAGATGCAAACGCCAGTGGTTGTTGCTAATATTGATTCCGTCTATATATTTCTTTTAATTTCAGATATATAACAGCGTGTGGCTGGCTGCTAGTTCATTCAAATTCTATTGTGTATGGCAGTAATTTTCTGATTTATGTTGCTCGTTTGTATTGTTGAACTATCAATCACATCTTTACCCAAAAGTATAAGTAATAGGCTTTAGTATTTTCTGTTGTCTCTGTGAAGAACTAGGGTTGTTTGGTTATGTTGCTAATCAGGTTTCAAATTATTCCTTTCGAATTAGTCAGTTAACAAGTTTCACCCAGCCATTTGGTGGAGTGGTGTATTTCTTTATCTTTTATTCTCAGTGTTCAGCTTCTCCCAGTCTTTTCTACTCCAGCAGTTGTTGAAATCCTGCAGTATTGTAACAACATAGAAAGTCAGAACCCGTTTCACTATGATAAACATATTAGGAAACTAGCAAACTTCAAAGCAATAGTGACAAATTGATAACATTTCAGAATAGAATAGATTATATAGTAAATTAGTTATTTGATAATAATGAATTAAAACTGAATAAAAAATTAAAATTTGATTTTTGAAATAAAATAAGTTTGTAATGGAATAAAAGTTTGGTGTAATGAAATAACAGTCTAATGAGAATGTGATTCAAGCACCGTAAGCTTTGGGGTATGAAAGTAAAATTTTGCCAAATAAACTTTTAAAAGCATTTAGACTAAGAGCTGAAGCTAAAACTGAGTTTTGGGTGTTAAAACTGAAAATTATCTTTTTGATGCTTTGGTAAATTGCTTGTGCTAAAATAGACATACTTATAATGAGCTTTATTTGATGAAAAAAAAATAAATAAATCATATATATATATATATATATATTGAAGGATTACTTACTAATTAAAAATTTAATAATTATATTTATCATAAAATTTAAATAATTTTTTAAAAGTAATAAACTTGAATATAATTTATTGTCCTAAATTCTCATTAATTTAAAACGCTGAAACTTGAAAGTTTCACCTACGTAAAAGAATGGAAAATCTTAAAAATAAAACCCGAAAATTTGCCACCAAAAAACATAACAAACCAGAAGGCAGCAATGGGTGGTACATGTGAAGTCCCTATTTCTCGTCTTCTCCTCTCTTCAACCAAAGCTTCAAATGCAAATCCCCATAAACCCTCTGCAAATTCTGTAATTCCCAAAACTACCAGACGCTTCTTACTCTTCTCTCTCCCTCTATCTACTCTCTCTGCTACTGCTCTTCTTCCTCTAAGCACCGATAACGCCGTTCGACTCACTTCTCCTTCTGTCTTCGCGGCGAGCTTTGATCCCGTGAGTCAGGCTGAGCGGGACGCAAGTACCTCCGTTTCTCGGAGAATATCAGAAGCTGTGGGGTTGTTGGAGAAAGGGAGGGAATTGCAGGCTCGGGGCGACTTTAGCAAAGCTCTTGACTACTTCACTCAAGTAAATTTCCTTTTCTCTTTTCTTTTTTTTTTTCCCTAGAAAAATATTATTTTCTGGGTTATGTTTGATTCCCGGGAAAAGTTTAGGTGAAGTAACATAGAAAGGGAAATGTGAAGGATTTTGATCTATTTTCTTTTGTTTAAACAGTGTTTTACAACCTGAACCTTTTTAAAGATATTTGTTGTATCCATATATATGATCTGCTTGGGGTGATAGTATGTGTCATTTGAACAGTTAAACTTCTATGGTAAAATTTGTTGCGTCGGCAAGAGCATGCAATGATTATCTGAGTATGGTTTTTGATTCACTGGCTTCTGTATTTCTCATAATTTTGGGTATTTCACTCAAGGAAGGTGGCAGCAACCAGGTTATTGTCCTCTATTTGGATATGATTTTCACTATCAACCTCAACACAAAACATTGATTATCTCATCTTGAGGAGCACCTGTGACAGTTATAGAAGGCTTCACCTTTATCTTTTTTTTTGTTGGTCTATACGGAAGTCCAGATTAATGCTATACTGTTGAGTCTGGTTATCATGAGGTTGGGGAAGTTGCAGAG